ATCGACCCTACATTTTTTTTTTTACGTGGATGTAAGCCGACTCTATGTGATAAACAATTGGCAACCAAGCGGTGGCTCGCTAAAGCGATATATTATGAAATTAAATTAATCACTCAATAAGTTTTAACATTAGATTGTTTCCTCGATATGGTCATGGTGGTCATCAGTGACTGGAGTGCCTCAAATGTTTAGAATAATTAAAATAAAATAAATGTTGTCAACTAAAAATTTTGAACGTCATAGCTAGCTAGACATTATTTTCAATTGAAAAAAAAAAAATTAGAAAGCATAATACTATAATCCTATGCTTAAAATGTATTTTATTGTGACCGTCTGATAGCAACCTGTAAATCTGGCGTGACAGTGAACGAGTTAATAAGTAAATGTTGTTCAAATTATATCGTGTTTGATATCATTTTCATCAGAAAAATCTCACCAACATGTTAAAAAAAATTTCAGATGAAAAAAAGGAAAGTTAAAGAAATTATATTTTTCTATTATGATTTGTGGAGCCGTGAAATCTCGTAAAGGAAACCGACTGGTGTAGCGTTACATGCTTGACTGACTGCGAGCGAGATAACATGGGCGCAGCAATGACGCAGCCTAGGCGTAGGACCATCTATACTGTCACGTATAGAATCCAAACTGACTGACACTTGTAGAGAATTCACTGTATACAGTGTTCTGTCGAACTACGCATAGGTTTAGAGACGTCGACAAGTCCGCGTAGTTGAGAACCATCCCCCGGTTTTACGTAAGACTGAAGTCCGATCATCTGCACTGCGTGTCAATTGTCGTATATTGTCGTTAGAATAATAACAAACGAAGTAGGTCGTGTGTAAAGTCTTAGTTGTTTACTAAGAGACAGTGTTTCTCCAGAAAATGATAGAATATGTATATGTCTCGGGGAGACAACAGTAAAAAAACTAATTTCTCGTTGCTTCACAGCTATAACACACCTTATTACAAGAAAAATAATCTTAGAATGCGATAAAACGAAATTGTTGCAGTAATTGATCTAATTAGCTATACGTTGGCTCTCCTCTATTTTCAATTAACTCAATCATTCGATTGTGTACGTATATATACATACATATTATTCACGCATACACATACCGTGAAACTGTAGCTGTGTAGCTCGCAGAGCACGCTTTTCGTTTGATTTTTCTCCCAAGCTGAGCTGTTCGTTGCGTACTTGAATTCAGTGCACTAGCTTCTTGTATGCAGCGGCACTTAATTCGCACAAACGAATATGCTAAGTACGTAAATTGATTCGAAATCCACGCACAATCGAAACCTCTTTATTCCAGGGAGCACTGAATTTTCTACAACGTTATGATCGCACAGTACAAACATCGTTCGTCGATGCACTCGTTCGGTAGGCCCGTAAGCACTAACTGCGTATGTGACGATCTGCCCGATTTCTGCTCCCTGTTACACGAAGCATTTCTAGGAAAAATCCTAGGCGTGTGAGTGACCCTCAAGTATGTAACTTGGGCCTAGTCAACCTCACGTACCAAAACATTGCGCGAGGCTCGCGATGTTTTTTGCTAGTGAAACATAAGAAACTCGAGCTAAACATAAGAAAGTCGAGTCAGAGTCGTTGTCTGTATTATATCGAATTAAACACGAAGCTACGTCCTATTTCGAAAGTAAAACTATCGCGAGAGAGAGCGATTGCTCTCGAGAGTATTTCTCGCGAGTGAACACTGCGCCTGCGATTGACTGTCTGAGAGCATAGCTCAACAGCCTGAGAGTAAACGTGTCGAGACATGTTCTCGAATGGATACGTAATTATACTACTGTCAAACAGTTGCTTTCCAAACACGAAGTAGTTTTGTATTCTTGAGAGAACTCTCGTGCGAGTAAAAAATGTCAGGAAAAGAAATTGGTGGAGAAATGAAATTATCAATTTAATCACTCTTCGTTGAAGAAAAATGTGGAATCCAAAGGATGTAGAATATCGTAACAGAGAAAATTGTGAACATATGATAAATGTGTAAATTGATTCGAAATGAACGTCAAAATTTTTCAAAAAAATATCGCGTATAATAGAAAACGCGGTGTTCGAACGAGCACTGTATTCTATATTCCACAAGACTATAATCACGCAGTATAAGCGACGTTCGTCGTTCGTCGAGGCACTCGTTCGACAGCCTCGTAAACTCCTACTGAGGACGAATCGTCCGACCCGATTTAGCTGTCTGTTCGCGCACAGAAAAGAGTTAGCGGGAAAAGAATTTTCTGATTTTATATTACTTTTATCGGCAAAACCGAGAACAAACGCCACGCACGTGGTCTTAATACAATACAATACGCCATACTGTTTTTCGTTCGACGCATGCGCGATCGCCGCTTCCAACGCCACTCGACGCATGCGCGATTGCCGCCCCCAACGCCGCTCGGCGGACGCACGCCGATCACGGTAAAAAAACGCGCCCCTTTTAAATTCAAACCGTTACACTGTCCTTTTGAGAGTAAAACTATCGCGAGTTTCTCGCGAGTAGACACTGCGTCTGAGAATGACTGTCTGAGAGCATCGCTCAACTTTCTAAGAGTTACGACTCAAATAAACAGTTGCTTTGCAAACACGAAGCAGTTTCGTATTCTTGACAGAACTCTCCTACGAGTAAAAAATGTCAGGAAAAAAAATTAGTGAGGAAATGAAATCACCGGATACACAGTTAAGCTTCTAGAATAAATAATTATTGGTTTCTGATTGCTTAGAATATAAGCATTGTGTCATCCAAGAATTCCTTGTTTCGATTAATTTGTCATTAATTATTTTTCATTATTTTTGGTTTTCATTAAACACTAATGTACAACAATTTTTGTAAATAATACTCAATATGAGTTTCTAAGTAGTTAATTTACGAACAGACCATCATCCAAAGAAAACGAGACGGAATATAAATTATAAGTATGGTCATACTCTTACCTTGAACCACATTTTTCATAAATTTCCCATCATTTCCGGGAAAAATGACAAGTAAATTTTTCGTTCCTTAGGATGCGTAGAATCATGCTGTAAAAAAATTTTTCGTTCCGGTTGTATACCAAAATTGGCCTTTTTTTAACATCCTCCTTTGTTACCTGATAACGCTTATTATACGTCAATTTAAATTTAGAAGTTAACCAAAACCGAACCAAAGCAAAGCCTAAAGTTACCCAAAATCATCTTCCATTTAATAGTAAAATAATTCAGGAACCACCGATTGTGGTTAATAAAACAAGCGATTAACATAAATAACAGAAGGAGAAAAAGAAATAGCTGGATTTACATTTGTTAGAAAAATCTTAAACATTATTTCTTACCTTATTTCACTTATCAGTAATGATTTCGTAATGTTTAATCATCTCGTTAATTAACAATCCTTTAGAGAATCATTTCCCTTTGAAATGTTGAAAAATTAACACGAATTACATTTCTGTAATCAGAATATCTTTACTATCCAACCATGTACATTTAATACAATGGAATATGTAACGTTATGTGGTACGTATTCAATTTCTAAAGGTACAACATTGTGATTTTGATTATAGTGGATGTGTATCCCATTTGCTTGGGCAAATCCAAAGGTACAGCCTCTTAACTCCATGGACGTGGATTGGATTGGTGAAGTGAAATCCGAAGAATATTGGTCTTACATAGATTATGGATTGTTACTGATATTCGGTGGCATCCCTTGGCAAGTATACTTCCAACGGGTTTTATCCTCGAAAACGGCCGGAAGGGCGCAAGTGTTAAGTTACGTAGCTGCGGTAGGTTGCATCCTCATGGCCATTCCGCCTGTTCTCATCGGTGCTATCGCCAAAGCAACGCGTAAGTGAAATTCACATTAAACATCAAATACTTACTTTCTTTGATTATCGTATTATTTCTATGCATTTTTACTTTTAAACGTTACTTTTTAAAATTTTCGTTCATCAATATATAGTTGTGAAATAATGCACGTAGGGGAGAGTCGTGCAGTACCGGCCACTCCAAGCTTTTGTACTATAACTTGGGCTAATGTTAGTAAAAATGAAATTTCAAAAAAGTAATTTGTAGTACAAAGGGTGCTTAATAAAAGGGGACAAATGGTTTTTCTGAAATTTTCTCATAAAGATAAATAATTCGTAGAAATAAGAAAGTTGTAATTTGTAGTGAACGAAAAATTGTCGTACAGTACCGGCCAGCTACTTAGTTGCTAGATTTTAAGGTCTAAGTAATAAATAATGTTAGTAAAAATCATTTGCAAATAGAATAGAACTTTTATTTAGGCACGTCTACAAATATCATAGGTAAAGTGATCGATATTTTCTTGATCCGTACACTCCACGTGAGCCCAACCATTGCAGCTATGAAAAATAACTTTTGTCGTACGGAACACCAGCGTAAATGTTAAACGTCTTAGAACTCTGGTAATACTGAAGAAAAAAGAACGCCGCCAGAATACGTTGCTCAAGGCTATAGTATTCATTTGTTTTTCCATCAATAGTGCACTCAACTAACGGTATAAGCGAGATCTAGCTTTGGCCGGTACTGTACGCTGACCGATACTGCACGACTCTCTCCTATATAGATTATAATTTTTTGATATGTATACTTCGTTTTATCGATGTTTATTTATAATTTCATTTTGTGCTGCTTATTTATACGATCCTTATAGCGTATAAAATTTGAGACTATTTCACATTCTTTTGTAATCACATATTAGGTCGTCCTGAGAGTTCCCACGGTTTTAAGCCGTTCATTTAAAAAAAAAAAAAAAAAAACGTAACTTCATTGAAATTAAACACTTTTACTTAAAATAATTTCCACAGTGACCCATACATTTTTTGTCAACGTATTAGAACAGTATCAACCCCTTGCTTTATAATAACGAGTCAGACGCGTGGCACAGATTTTGATCAAGACGCGACAAAAACAGTCATGTTGCTAACAAAAATTAATTTTAACTCTAACTTTCGTTTTAATTTATAAGACTGAATATTATCAAAAGTAATAAATATGCTGATATATTAGCTTTTTTTACCAAACACAATACTGAAACAATAAATAACTAACGCCTAGATGCATAGTCGGTAAAAGAAATGCTAAGTGAAAGGGTTAATTCGACGTACATAAAAATTCGAATTTCTAAGAGAAAAAAACTGTTGAAAGGTGTTTTCAATATCTTCTTGTTCCCTAAATCGTTTCTGTGTAAGGAAATTATCAAGTGCGCGGAAAAAGTGAAAATCGGTTGGAGATAAATCAGAGGAATATGAGAGATGAGGTAGAATTTCAATACCAATCTGCGAACATGATTATTTTTTCGCACAGACTATTTAGATTTGCGTCTCTTTTTCTCTTAGAAATTCGAATTATTATGTACGCGGAATTAATGTTCTTGTAATACATTGACAAAAATATATGGAACACTATAGAAATTATTTTCAATAAACACGTTCAATTTCAGTAGAGTTACTTTTTTCAAAATGAACAGCTTAAAACCGCGGGAACTTTCAAGATGACCTAATAGTATACACTCTAGTGAATTAAAACAAATTTTTTTGGGAAGGACACTCGTACATTTCTAAGAAAGTACGTCGAATTTACGTACGCAAATGCTTCGTTAGCATATACGTGCCAGCTGTTCACTTTTTAACGTACGCTAGAACAGAAACTCTAATTTCGTCGCGTCAACAATAAACGAGATATCGTTTGCTGTGCTGTCTTTCTACGCGTTGTTTATCTTGCTTTTGTTTGAGGGAAGGAAAACACGTTTCACGGGTCCACAGAGCTAAAGGGGATTGAATTAGATCGGTTTGCTCGTCATCCCCCTCTACTTTTGCGTTCGAAGGCTACTTGACATTTGGTAGTACTGTAGAGTGAGAGGACTGCTGGTATTTACAAGGTTTCAGGGCTAAGCGAGTCAGCGTTGTAACGGAAGGGTGTGTGGGTGAAGGGTGCCTTGATATCCCACAGCGTGTACAATAGCGTGGGATTTTGTCATATGGCATTCTCGACGCGAGGGTGAGGGTGGTAATGTAACGTCTGCTAACGCGGGGTACAATAGAACCGCTGGAACTAATGCGATACACTTTATCGGTATCTCGTGTATTTTTATTCTGGAACGCGAAAACAAATAGTTTTCTTATCTACGCGTGTTCGTAGGTGGGCAAGTTTTGCCATACAGGGAGGAAGAGTTTCTTTGACTGTCGTTT